CCTCACCCTTGGACTGGCTCCCCCCGACCGTTCCTCTCTCTCCCAACCGCCTCTGCGGTCCCCCCTCCCCCAGACGTCCGACCGCTCCAATCTTTTCGATGCGTGGGCCCACGGAGGTCTGGGCCTCTTCCCTGGAGCCGGCTTCTTGTCCTGCATCGTCTTGTGATGCTCCCGAGGCCCGACGAAGGCCCCCCGAGGCCGAAAACAGCCCGAGCCCCGCCGCTCCGATGTTTGTTGGAGCGTCGGATCTCCGGGTCCGCGCGCGCACGCGTCCGTGCCCGCGCGCGCAAGGCGGGCCCGTGGCACGCGGGCACGGGGCCTCCTCCCGGGGGCTACCGCCAGAGGGGGGGGGGAGGCCCCCCGCCCCTCCTGCCCCTCCTCCTCGCGCTCGGGCCTCTCCTCCTCCGCCTCGTCTTCTCCCCGTCTCCTCGTCTCCTCGCCTCCTCCCCTTCCTTGCCTCCTCGCCTCCTCGCCTCCATCTCCCCTTCCTTGCCTCCTCGTCTTCTCGTCTCCTCCTGTTCCTCGTCGTCTCCTCGTCTCCTCCTCGGCTCTTCCCCGTCGTCTGTTCGTCTCCTCCGCTGTCGCCTTGCTCTGTGCATCGACGCCCTAAGATCCGCATTCCTATCTCCGCGGCAACACGCCATGCCCACCAGCAACCAGCACCCCCCTCCCCGCATCAGCGACATTCAAGTTGTACTGAACGGCAGAAGACGATACTATGGCGATGCCCAGGCACATCTGCAGAGAAAAAGCCTTCTCGTGGAAGAGAACCACAGCGAGCACCTTGCCAGCATGGGAGAGCAGCGACTGAGGTATGCTCCAATGCTGAATCCATGCCTGCAGCTACTTCCAAGACGAAACCTAGAAGAGGGTAGCGTAGAACGCAAATAAAAATCACCGACAAAGGAATCACAACATGAAGAACATTGGTTGAGAGAGTCAATACCACCAGCGGAATGCCCCATACCAGATGCATGCATGCGACGTATGGGGTCATGCGGAGCCCGCATCGAAGTTCCTGCCTGTAGCAGGCGTTGGTTTATTCGCAAGCCCTTCCCCCAAATGCAAAGACAAGTCTGGCGCCGAGGTGGTCAGCATCGCCATTGTGTGCGTGTAGACGCGGGCAATGTTGTCCTCCCGCTGCCACGTTCACAGATGCACTCACCATCGGACGGATCACGTGCCAAACGTATGAGACATGAACCTGTGGAGCATGTCGTCGGAAACTGCCCTCTGTGCTTGCATATACTACCGCCGACCTCCCATTTCGTTGTGACCCAAACGGTCCACAAACTTCAGGATCGCAGAGATGCTAAGACCCATGAACATGTTGTTCAGGACGACAACGACAGCCCACCCATTATACCTGGCGCAAACAATCTAATGAACAGCCGCGTCCGCAACACCTGTGTGTGCGCGCCTCCAAACGCACACATGATAGGCAAGCACATAGTGGTGTACGTGTGGGCATCATTTGCAATACGCCGACAAGAAGTAGCTGGAACGACTCGAACTACCATCGTGTAAAAATCGTGATGGCGCGGTGTATTCGAAATGCTGTCCAAAGCCCCGATGCTCAGACCGTTGCACAATGACGCAGACACCTGCGTACGCGAAGGCAGAATCATATGCGCACGCGCGCACCAACTGATGAAACACCATGCAACAAACAAAGATGCAGACCGATGTCCCGCACATATGCGACGGACGCCTGCCAATGCGCACGAGTACGCTATCATCTTATAACAATGAGCTCTGGCCCAACGGTGGGCCCACGATAGGGACCCCGAGCTAAAATGTCGAGCCCTCCGCCCCAAGGAGGCACCCGAGATCGCCAGAAGGCGCCCAATAAGCTCCCAAGAAGCCGCACGGGGCCCCCCAAAGGAGAAACATCCAAATCCCAACGAGACGGTCCACCAGGGTCCAGAGCCCAGCCGTTAATAAAACCGGAACGGTCCACTCTGATTTGAGCTTCCCAGCGCTTGAAACGCTTGACGGGCGCGATGTCGGCGCTTGATAGGCGTTTCCTTGAAGGCGCCTCCTCGGTTCTGAGAGGAATCCCGTGGGTTCTTCCAAGGTATCCTGAAGGATTCCAAGCTAATTCTTTCAAGGATCCCTGCGGGACCCCTGAGGATTCCGGAGGAATCCCTGAAGATCCCAATCGGATGCCTGAAGAATTTCGGAAGATTTCTGAGGATTCCTGAGGGGGTCCGGAGGCTTCCTGAAAGGTTCCTGCAGATTTCTCCAAGGCTTCCTGAAGCATTCGGGAGGTTTCTTCGAAGGCTTCCTGACGAATCCTTGAGGGTTTCTAAGGGATCGCTGAAGATTCCTGAAAATTTCCTGAGGGATTCTTTGTGAGGATTCCGCAGGGGATCCCTGAAGATTCCTGTAGGATTGCCGTAGAATTTGCGTGGATCCCTGACGGGCTTCTGAAGGATTCCTGAATCTTCCTGAGGATCATTGAGGATTCCTCAAGGATTCCGGGTGGACTCCGAGGGGATTCCTGGAAGATTTCTTCGGGATTTCTGAAACCTTCCTGAAAAATCACTGGGAGATTCCGGAAGATTCCTGGGAGATTCTGGCAAATGTTCCTCGAATCCAATGAGAGAGCGCCGGCCCCAGCCTCCAGCAACATTCGTTCATATGCGATTGGGTGGATTCGGAATTCCATACGCAATGTGTTCGCCCCAGCCTCAAGCAAAGTTATTCGACTGTACATGCACTTCTCAATCGGACGTCAATCGGAAATGCGCCGACCCCAGCCGCAAACATATTCACTTGTTCTACTAGTCCTGTTCAACTGGAAGCGACTAACTAGTGTAATCGCCGATACCAGCTTCCAACATACTTCTTGAATGCCCTATGTCTTTCCAAACCCGAGCTTTAATGGGGAATGCGCCGATCCCAGCCACCACACCAGATCCTCCACAACTATATTTGGATTCCAATCGAGACACTATCAAGAAATGCGCCGACCCCAGCCTCCCCCAGGATACCTTAATAATCTGTTAGTAGTGTTGTTATCTTCGGGATCCAAGTGCGAACGCGCCGATCCCATGCCCCAACACAAGTGTTGCATGTTATATAGTTATTGTCATGCGCCGAACCCTGTCTCAGATGCGTCGCGTATACGGTCCACGCACGTTTCGTATACGTTCTTATACCTCCAACATGCGTCTCGTACGGGTGACACGTGGGTGTCATGTCCGTTTGATAAGTACGTTTCGGTTGCTTTCACTGTGCGCTGTTGTGTTAGCTGTATACGCGATCCGTGTACGTTCCGTATGCAAGCCCTATACGCTTCAGATCCGTAGCAGATGCGTTTCGCTAGCGTGTCGTATACTTCCGAATCACGTATCATATACTTGAACGTCCGATGTACATCCCGTATCCGTTTCGGATGCGTTTCAAAGACAAGCCATCCACGTGTCATCGAAATTCATTATACGTTTCGTGTATATTTAACATACTCTTCGTATACGTGACTTACGCGTTCCAGAATTCGTATGCGTGTCTGCTAACTCTCGGATGCTCGTGCCGTACGTTTGCGTATACGTTTGATAAAACCTCCGTATACGTTCGTATAGACTGCCATCTTGAAGCGCCTTTGGCCTATACGGAGCTCTCCTGGAACATTTACAACTCGGACTCAACAACGTAGTGGAACGGTCTGGATCCAGAGGGATATCATGCGGCTTTCATCACCCCCCAAAAAATGGCATAACAAGAATGTGCATATCTCTGTCCGGCGCTTGGGATCTGGAACGTTCCGCTTGTACTACCACGTGGGATCTGGACCGTCCACTTGGGGATCTGGAGCGTCCTGCCGGGATCTGACCAGCGCCCCCAAAGAGGCCCGGCCCTCAAGAGGCCCCTGAGGAGGCCCCCGCACACCCCAAAACTGCCTCCGAGATGCTTCCGAGGGGCATCTCAAGAAATCTCATCTAGCATCCAGAACTGACTTGCAACAGAGGCACGGTGCGGGGATGGGCAGAAGGCCACTAGAAGCGCCACGCCTGTGAAGGTGGGTGGATGGAAACCTGGCCAAAAGGAGAAAACGCGATAGGGAGAGGCGGCTTGAGCAAGGCACCCCCAGCGAGAGGCGGAGGAAAAACACTCATGTGAACGAGGTTATGAATCGCCGTATTCCCATTTGGCTGTCTGGCTTTTTTGCGAGGGTCAAACAAGAGTTCTGCCGTCGCACACTCCGTAAGGTGTTGGGGCGTCGTTGGCTTTCATCTCTTGCACTATATCCCCCACCAAGTGTTCCTCCTCCGCCTCCTTCACTTTCGCCATCCACCTCGTCAGACGCCCTGAGAAAGAAAACAGTCTACATAGCGCGCGGGTGGATGGAAAGACTGCCATTCTGTCAAGAAGGAGAGATGGAGAAAGAGAGGGATTATAATTAGAGAGACTGAGGGAGAGAGAATAGTCATAACAAAAGCGCAAACAAGCACAATACGAACAACATGCAGAAGGGGGGTCGGGAGGAGGGGGGTGGAAGGAAAGAGAAAGCGAGAGAGAGAGGGAGAGAGAGGGAGCGAACAACAAACAAACATGAAATGCTGCAACCAAGAAAAAAAACATCAAGCACCAACGTCGCGCTTCCAAGGGGCCCCCCCTGACGGGACCTGGCGCGACGAGGACTGGGGCGACTTTCCCATGTCCCCAGGATCAGACAGGGCAGCCCCATCCCACTGGCGGCCAACTGAGGAGCTCCTATGGTGGCTTCTGGTGCTGGTGAGATGGATGCGTTCTTGGTATGGCGGTCCCTGCCCAAGGACCGGGTAGACATTCAACAATATACGGTGCAAGATTGCCGTGCAAACTCTGCCGCATGCCTGTCCACACTGTCCGCCGAAACACTCATCGGGATCTCGGCCCTTGACATATCTGAGGATGCTCTCCCACACTGCAACATGTGCCACCGACGCATGGCAACGTGAACACAATGGCCTCATGAACCTGTTGGAGCAATCAGGAAAAGAACGGCGTACCCGCTAAAAAAACCTTGTGGTTGCAATGCGCTTCCACCGCGGGGAGAAAATCGATCTCCGATAAGACAAAAGAATATGCCCCACCTCCCGCGACCACAGGAGAACACATGAAGCGTGTGCAGCCTCCAAACGCGATCTGACGTGGCTTCCTCTGTTCCTCCCCTCTCGGCGGCGAGCGAGGGGGGGAACGAGAAGGGGCGGCCCTTCTCAGAAGGCTTCGAAGTTTAAGCCGCCCTCGAAGACGCCGAAAACTACTCAGAAGGCTAGAGACCTTCAGAGAAGTCCCGCCGCGTCCCGAGGAAGCCTCCTCCTTCTCACTTCCCCCCCGCTCGCCGCCGACAAACTCGATCAAAGGTGGCTTCGTTCACCCTGCTTCCGTTCCTCCTCATGGGTGGATGCTAACCAAGGGCACCTAACGTTGCGCTTCGCGCTCTCGCGCCGCCCCCCAAAGGGAGAAGAGGAGGATAAGGAGGAATCGGAGCCGAACCGCGAAGCGCGAGCAACTTCGCGCCCTCGAGGGCGCCCTTGGCGGACGCGCATGTGATGACGAAGCCGCGTCGCGCGAACGCTGCTGCCACGTGCGGGCGAGGAAGCGTGAGGCCGCCACCCTACGTGTTTTTCGGACTCTGCGGCGGCGACACCGCGTCGCGCCCTGAATCCTGGAAGGCCTACCCCGTACCCATCGGTCCGAAGAGGTGGGTAGAATCATGAAGTAGGAAGGCATTGGAAGTAGACTGGGTCTCCGCCCACCCCCCGAAGAGGAGGGAAGCAGGGAAAAACGCTCGACTCTTGAAGTAGGAAGGGGCCTAAAGTAGATTGGGGTCTGAATATCAAAGAGTATTTCAATTCAACGACTGGCGTGTAGGGGCTCGCTGTTCCTTGGCTCCTTCCGTGACTGTTCCTCTAGTTCCCCTCGTGCACACCTAGGCGCTCCTGGGGCAAACAATTGTTTCGTTCCTCGTTTAGCGTTCCTCCTGGCAGTACCTCGATTGTGCACCCCCGGAGGCCCAGCGAGCCTCAGGGCCGCATCACATATGTTGGAGGTTGCGGACGCTCGCGCAGGCCTCCTCACGCTGCCTCTCAGACTCCATCCCTCGCGCTTCATCCTCCTCCTCGTTCATCACACCTCATCCACATCGTGACCGTCCTCATCCTCCTCCTCGTGCTCCTCCTCTCTAAAAGGAAGCCAGGACGGGGATAACATCGGGTGGGGAAAAATCGAGAATCTCTGAGACCCGGCGGCTCTGGAGGATGTCTCGAGCGCCGGGAAATTCCCAGAGCGTTCGGGAACCCTCGGAGAGCGTTCGGAAACGCTCTGGCACGGATTTACCCTCGCCCTAGCCCCGTCCGACTCTCTCCCACGGGGCTCCATCTCGCCTCAAACACATCAGACTCGACTTCTCTTCTCTCATGGCCAAGATCCGCTCGGAGTCGGTTCCCCAACCGCTCACGGACATCGGTATGAGAAACTTCCCATGGGCCACGCCTTGCCGAGGCCCGCTGGCACCGCGATGCGAAGCGGGAGGCCGCCAGGCAAGCCAGGAACGCCGCACGGACCACCCTGCCAAAGGCGAGATCGTGCAGGACGCCAGGACCTGGAAGCCGAGGCAGGCAGTCGAGTAGCCCTTGGGGGTCCAGCCAGCGACGTCGGCACAAGGCCGAGCGCCGCCGCGGTGACGCCACAGGGCCAAGCCACGCCCACTCTGGCCATCGCTCGGACGTCCATTCCCTGTATTTTTTTCGGCTTCGTGCGTGGTTTTTTCGCCAAATGATCAAGGATGCTCCTCGATGGTCCTCGCCGAAGGAAAAATGCACACGTCCGAGCGATGCCAAGCGGACTCTGGTGCCTGCTCCGGCGAGCTCGTGGGAGCAGGTGCGGGCTACCCAATGGCGACGACGAGGGGGCGCCCAGGGCCGGTGGGGCCCCTCCCGTGTCGAAGAGTACACGGGCACACCGACTTCGTCTCCGCACCGCCAGCCCTGACTGCTCGCGCCGCCTCTGCTGATCGGCAACGGCCAGCGGCACTTCGTGGGAATACGCTCGCAGCAAGCCCAGAGCCGCTCCCTCCACCCTCCCGATCTCCCCCCCTCCCCCTCCCTTCGCTCCCTCTTACCGCCTCCCTTCCACACTTCCACTCTTCTCCGGCTCTCCATGGAGGTGGAGGAGGGTGGAGGTACATACAGAATGCTCTGGACAGCACAGCGAAGGGTAGGCCTGTTGACAAGGTCCTCATAATTGTCATATTCAGGCACGCCCTCGAGCAAGGATGATGATGCGGATGATGCTGACGATGAGGATGCATGCCCTTGATGACCTCAGTGAACGAATGCTGCTGTAACGCTCTGGACTGGCTTCTTGGCTCTGCGGCCACCCGTGGCCGCTTGTCCGCTGATCCATCTGTAGAAATAAAGCTGTACGAATGCAGGCTAGGGTAGTGATTCATTCAGTTGGTAAATCTGTTTTGGCTGCACTACATATCAGTAACTTGCTCTGGATCTTTCCTGTAAGATATGAAACAATAGGCAAACAGTATGATAAAGACAGCAATGCAAGGGCTCCAGATCAGAGTACACATCCGACACTGTCACTCGATGCCGCACTACAAACATAGTTCACAAAACATGTTACAAACTTCTAGTGGTCTTGACCACGAGAGCAAAGAGGACGAGGAGGAGCAGGGCGAAGGAGAAGGATGGGGAGGAGGAGAATGAAGAATCGAGGTGGGGGAGGGCAAATAAGACAAACAAAGGTCTTCTAGCGGTCTTGATCAGGAGATGAGCGAGGGCGATGAGGATCAATGAGAAGGAAGAGGAGGAGGAGGAGGAGGAAGAGGAATAGAGGTAGGGGACGGGGAAGAGGAGAGATGCAGCCCGTCCAAGTCCCCACGTGTAGAGCTGCAGATTCTGCCAATGAATGCTGATACTGGCCTTGTCCTGGCGGTACCGCGGGCGCCGCCACTTCCTCCTGCTCGTCGTCCCCCCAAGCCTCCTCTAAGGCGGTCCCATGGTGCCTGCGCGTATTCCCCGGAGGAGGAGGTGAAAAAGGAGACCCTCTACTCGCCCTCCTCCTCCTCATCCTGCACCTCCGCCTCCTCCTTATCGTCCTCCCTCTGCCTCGTTGCTTGCGGTTCCGCGGGTGCTAGCGGGCTTGCCAGCCAGGCCTTCCTCGCACTCGAGAAGCGCAGCGAACCCCGGTCCCCGAGGACTCGGTTCGGACTCGCTTGAACGATCAGGCCAATCATGGCCTGGAAGAGGCTGACCCCCTCTCTCTGCAGCCCTCCCCTCCCGTCCCTCCCTCATATCTCCAAGCCCAGCTCGCCTCCCTTCCCTCCCCCTTCCCCCTTCGCTGCACAGCGCGCAGTGTACGAATTCACGCATGTAATTCGAGTAATGTACAAAGTAAGTCGAGCCGAATTCACGCATGTAATTTATATGTTTGTGTACTTTGCTTTCTGTGTGTGTGTGTCGTGCATGCGCATTCGCACTGTTGTCATCTGCTCAGGCTACAGCTCGATGAAGTAGTCATCTCATCGTGACTGGGATATTGAACTTGCCGTGCACGCTCCTATTCCTTGATACTCGTACTATACATTTTCATGCACATTCCGATTACTGTACTTTTGTTCGTTTCTTACTTTGCGATGAATCCATTTGCTCCTCGCCCGCCAATGTTTGGCCAGCAGTATCAGCAGCAGTCCAGCTACGGATACCGTCCACAAGGGCCCTTCCAGTTCCCAATGGCTTCCGGCACATCTGCACCTACGCCACGGCCTGCGCCGATGCGTGTGTACGAAGGGCAAGTTGTGGATATGAGAACGCACAGCCAGGACGAGCATGGTAGATTCCTACCTCTTCATGCGGACAACGTTGATCGATTCGAAGTTGTGAGCGTGGCCACGAACCTCCCCGGCCTCCGGGACATGATGAAAAAGGAGCGCGCCGTACCTGTTTTTCTTCGCGCACACGAGGAATGGGACGTCAGTGTCCGTCGTGCTCAAGAGATCTCCGGCCTCATTCCAATGTCGTGCAGTGAGGAGACGTGGAATAACTATGTCGTCGGAGTTCGTTCGGTGCTCGAAACCTTGCAGATCCCCCAGGCAGAGTCCGTGAGTGATTTCTTGGAAAGGAAGCGTTGCGATGAATCCTTTCGCCAGAATCGTTTCCGCCCTCATGATCATGACTTCCACCGGGAGCCTCGCGCGGAGCGTCCCTTGTTCACTGACTTCCAGGGAGCCGAGATGGATCAGGACACTGGTGCGAGGACGCCTCTGCTTGATCCCCGGGAATCTATGGGTTGCTCTGTCAGGCACAACGATGAGTACGGCACTGTGATTGGTGTAGAGCAGCTTCCTGGTGAAGGTAATTACCAGGTGAAGATTCAGTGGGCCAACAACGGTAGCATGTCCAACCATCCGTGGGATTCTGTCGTGAGCGACATGGAGGTTCGCAGGGTTCCTGTCCACGAGATGTCCACTCCAAATCCCCGGCCGAGGCGTCGCCCGAGGCAGGCTGATGCAGCATCGGCTTCTTCTGAGTGGGCTAGGATTGTGGAGCAACAGAACCAGTCGCGCTGATCCGTAGGTAACGTGTTCCATATTTCACCCGCCACGTGGCAAACTAGCATGCACTCGCGCGATTACATAGCACCTGTGTTTTCCAAGTTTGGCATGAATGTTGACACGTGCATGTGCTTCTCCTCCTCCTCTTCTCCTTGCTTCTGCCAGCGCATTAACGTGAGGGATTGGACTGAGATGGAAGATAAGTATGCTTTGCCACACGTGCGTCGTGCACGACGTTTGCTTGAATGCGAATCGTGGGATCGACGTCTGGCTGTCGACAGCGCCCGCTCTGTAGGCGTGATCATAAAAAAATGTCGCTTCGAATGTTCATTGCCGGTACGTTCAAGTGAAGGCTTGGAGACAGGTTACCGGTCTCTTGCGTTGTCTCAAAGCCCATTTGCATGGGTTGCGTTTCTCTTCATGTCGGGAGGTCACTGTACTTGCTAAGTCGGAGAAGAGCACTATGTTGGACATTCTTAACTTTCTGCACTCCATCTCTACCATCCGCCTGCTTGGTCTCTCTTCCTTTCGCCACCATCAGAAAGTTTACTCTGCCATTGTTCGCTCTGCGTCTGCTGTGTATTGCGATCGTGTCTCTCCCTCGTTCACCTCCCATGTTGTGTACGCCTGGTTGTCCACGGATCACAATTTTATGTATGTCGGCAAGACGAATCGGGGGATGGACGTGCGCATGCGTGAGCATTTGGGTAATCTGCTCAGCGACCGGCCTCGTTCTCAAATCCCTGCTTATTACAAAATGAGGTCGTTGGATGTTGCTAGTTTTGTGTGCATCCCTCTCGTTTGTTTGCCGTCGTCGTCGGATTTTGAGTTGCGCGTGCTTGAAAAACGGTTCATTCATGCCCTTCGTCCTCAATTGAATGTTCCGTTTGTGAAAAAGCACGTCCGTGCGCCATGGGAGAAGTCTGGCGACTGCAGCGTGGTGGTGAATCCTACTAAGTCCGGTTCTCGTCCTCGTTCGTGTCGTTTTTTCCAACCCTCGTTTTTTCTTGAGTACGTTTCAGGTTGATTGCAGGTCCATGTGTTGTTACACCATACAGCGATCTTCCTTGTCTGCCTTGGTTCTCAGATTGGGCGATATGCGACGGAAAGCTAATAGCAGCAGTCATGTTGTTAAATGGCTGCGCGATAACAAACCCATCGTCGTGCCCTGGTTGTTGCAACGTCTGCCAAAGACGCTGTCCGGATCAAGCCTTGCCGTGGCTCGCCGGAGAATGTTCCAGATTATTGACCGCAAGAGTTCTCGTTCTTTTGTTTCTTGTTCTCTGCTTCTTCCTTCTCTGCTGGATTTCCCCATTCGTCCTGCTCTTGCTTCTGCCATCCGTTCTCAATTGTCCGTTCAACTTCCGGTTGGTACGTCTGTGCACTTGTTGTTCAAGCGATTGAAGGCACCGTCCCCGAAGAGTTTGCTTGTGAATTCAAAGGTTTGGTCTAAATCACTTGATACTTGTGAGTTCCCATGCACATGTGATGCCCTCTGTGATGAATTGTCTGTGGGCCGTTCCCAGAACGGACACGTTTGTTGCCTGTTGCAGAACACGGCAATTTCATCCAGCATTCCGGCTGGTTTCCATTCTGAGGGGGCTTGCGTTTGGAGTTTTGCTCAATTTCGCGATAGTTTGTTGCGTGCTGTTGACACTCTGCACACGAAATGCGCACATGTTGTTCCGGATGTTTGCGTTGACTTGTCTGATGCTTGCGAGGAAATCGGGGCAATGTTTGCTCGAGCTGACGCCTTCAGAGGGTATGGCGTTTTACAATCTGATGTGGTGGAGTGGAGTCGTCGTCTTCGTCGTATTGCTGTCGTCTCCCCCGTTGACAAAATGCCATCTGCTCTTGCCATCTCTTGCCCTCGTTCTTGGCAGTTCCGTGCTCGTGAGGTTTTCCTTGGTAAGGGCAACGTGTGTCGCTCTTTCCCTGGCTGGAATTCCATCCACAATGCTTTCTCGGAGTTACAGTCTAAGCTGTCGTACACAGGCCTTCTTCCACGTGATGTCACTCATCACCAGTTCGGTGGAGTCGATGTGTGGCCGAAAGCATCCAGCTTGCACCTCAAAGTCCGACCTCTGGGGTCTTACGCTAAGCATTGCATGCGTTCGTACTTCTCGCTTGCTTGCCGTGCTCTGAATTTTATGACCACCAATCTGTGCCCGGAGTCTATATCTGTGATTGCTGCGGAGAAGGTTGTGAGCAAATTTCACAACTTTAGTGTTGATTGCGTTGACAAGTGTTCTCGTGGCTTCGCTCCCATTTACGTGCCATTCAAGCGGGACATCGATAATTTCTTCAATAATGTTCCGCGCAGCCTCATCAGTAAAGCCCTGTCCTGGGTGGTTGCTCGTTGGTATGAAGTTCATGGCTCTCGTCGTCGTTTCATCCGTCTCCCTCGGCTCTATAGGTACGCCCCTCGGTATCGCGAGTCCCCACATTGTTTCACTCGCGCCTTCAAGGGTCACGTCCGTAATTTGGCACGAGCTAACATGCCTAAACCGTCGCCTCACAATTGCCGCGTCGTCTCTGCTGACGATTATGTTCTGCGCGTGGATGACATTGTTCCCATTGTGAACGCTGATTTAGACAGTGGGTTCTTACACTTCGGGAAGGGACTGTTTGTGCCCACTGTGGGGATGACACAGGGTAGCAATTTGTCCCCTGGCGTGTGCAATATGGTGTGTTGTTTTCTGGAGTTCGAACGTATGCGATTGCCAGCCCACGTTCCTTGCGATGGTATCCAATTTGTCACTATGATGATTGCCCGGTGGGTTGATGACATATTCGGTGTGCTATGTTTCTGGCATCAGGCGCACCAGTCTGCACCGGATGTCCGGGCTCTGAGTGACCAATTAATTGGAAGCCTCATGGGGATCTATAGCCAAGCGGTCCATAGCCGGATCCGTAAAAAACGCACACATGAGTGCTTGAAACTGAAGGTCGAGGATCCTGCTGTCTTTGTTGGGTTCAATGTTGGCACTGCTCCTCATGTGTCTTTGTTCCCCCACAGCAAGAACGGTGATCTGTTTCATGCTGCTGTCGTGTGTGCTCCGTTCCCTCGGTTCCAGTCGTGGCACAGCAATAGGCCCCTCTCGGAAAAAGTGGGTTCCGTGCAAGGCTTGCTTGTACAATGCGTTGACCGTTGCCTGAACGTTGATCCCGTTCCACACATTGCGAGCCTCATGCTTGAGCTAAAGTGTCTCGAGTATCCCTGGGAGGCTCTCCGGCGTGCGGTTGACAGAGTTTGTTCTAAGCATCCGTACTTGTCCTGCATCCGGGTTGCGTTGACAGCTGCTCAAGAGAAATGGACACGTTGCAATAACCCACGTGCGGATTAAGCATCCGCTTGAGGGCTCCGTGTGTGTTCGCGTGTGTGGTGGCGTACTGCTCTCCATGCTCCCGTCTATCCTTCAAGTTTTGCGCTGCTTGCTCTTTCCTCCCCTTTCCTCCTTGTTTGCTTTTATTGTATGATTGTGTGTTTCGTGCTCGTATTCATATTTTTGTACATTCACATTCCGACTGGCCGTAATGCTAGCCGGGCCCTGCGGATGATTCTTGCTAGAATTTCCGGCCGCGTTCGTGAAGCCATGGCAAGTTGATTGCTGCGGCGTGGCTCCCATTCCCACGTGCATGTATATACTAGCGAAAGTAAGTCGAGCCGAATTCACGCATGTAATTGATATGTTTGTGTACTTTGCTTTCTGTGTGTGTGTCGTGCATGCGCATTCGCACTGTTGTCATCTGCTCAGGCTACAGCTCGATGAAGTAGTCATCTCATCATGCCTCGCCTCTCCACCCTGGCCTGTTTGCGGCAGCCTGGGATCCTGCACTCTGGTCTACCACGCCCTTCCCGCCCCAGCCAGATCCCACCGCCCGGGGCAACGCCTGGTATACAGAAGCCACGCCCCAGGGAGGGAATCGTGGATACCAGACCCACGATCAGGACCCTCGCCCATCTCCCAGGGCTTCTGGGTACAGTGCACGATGCTGGTTCTTGGGCAAAGGAGAAGCTTCCTCGCACAGAGCCAGCGAGGGGGTGCATCAGGGGACGCGCGGCCACTGAGCTCCAGACGTTCCCGTCGGGGGCACGGAGGGAGGGGGGCAGAGGGGAGGAGAGATGTCCCGGCTTCGGTGACAACTCATGGAAGCCTCCCATGCCATCTTCGGCTACACGCAGGAGTGATCCTGGGCAAGTGACCTTTGGCGCGCTGCTGAACTGGCGGCGCGGGGTGACCAAACCCAAGCGCGCAGCCCGATGCTATCGCATCGCGTTCGGCGGTCGGAGGACCCCAGTGGGCCCGCACCAAATGTCACTCCGGCGAAGGGTCAGTCTTACGTGTGGTCGACATCTTGCTGGCACTCGCAAGCCGACGCGGCCCAACGCTAGACGACGGAGCATCGACGCTGATTCGACGCTTATCGACGCCACGTCGGCGCTTTCTCGTCGATTACCCGACGCTGGCGCACCCTACAGTCGGGGCGTTGACCTAAGGAACCCTAAATAAGGAATGAGGCCCCTTTTTCTCATAAGTTAAGCTTCGATTCCCTATGGGAAATCTCAGGGAAACCCAAGGCAAACTGCGAAGCAATCGAGGAACACCGAGCCCCTCCCCAACGCAAAGGGTTCCTTCTTCAGCGCCCCGACTGTCAGGATGGAATTGCGAGGACCTACCAGGTTCTCATGCTTTGCCACCGCACCCGGCGGCTATCGGAGGCCAACGGCTCTCGGAGGGACGCCTTGTCGTTCCCAGAGGCAGTCCTCCTCCTCCTCCTCCTCCTCCTCCTCCTCCTCCTCCTCCTCTTCGTCATCCTCCTCCTCCTCCTACTCCTCCTCCTCGTCATCATCCACCTCCTCCTCGTCCCAGGAGGCGGATGTTGCGGCCCACGCGTCAGAGAAATACAGTCGGGGCCCGACCACAAGAAACCTTCAGCAAGGAAACCCGACCCTGAGACCCCAGGACATCCACTGATTCTTGTTGTGGGAACGTCACGCTTTCCGTAGCAAAACCATCGAAACTCAAGAAACCCAAGGCGCCCTGGAGGCAAGCAGGGTTTTTCTTGGTATGGGTCTCCACTGGATGTGGTGCCCGATGGACGCCCCTCAAGCGCAAGGGCCACTGAGGTAACGCGCTGGTTGCCTCGCGCGCCCGAGCCTGTGTTCAAATCAAGTGGCTCACGCACAGCTTCAGCAGGAGCAGGAGGAGGAGGAGGGGGCCGAGGAGGAGGAGGAGGAGGAGGAGATGCATCTTACGAAGGTGAGGGCAACGATAGGGATGAACAGGCATCTGGGGGTTGCTTCGACCATGAATGGCCGATACATCACTCATGCATCGTCGATACATCGTCGATGCAGACAGCCCCATGCATCGTCTATGCATCGTCGATGCGTCGCCCCGGTATCAACGATGCATCGTCGGCATATCAACCATTGGAGGTCGATGCATCCTTTCCTGTGCCGACCCCCCTCCCATGTCGTAGAGCAGTTGTCCTTCATGATCTTCTCGTTGTAGATGCCCGCCAAAGCAGACAAACAGCAAGATATCACAGAGAGCACCTGGCGGCCCGCGAGTACGGATCGTGCATCAACATGTATGTACGCCACGCGGAGGCTTCAGACGCCCCCACGAGAAGGCTCCAAGGGCAAACGAATCCACCCTCTGCTGCAGATGGTTCCCCTCTCCTTCTTCCTGCTGGGGTCGCTATCTTCCAACGTCTCCCGGCGCGCACTGTAGGTCGCACATCTCCGAGGTTCCTCGGAAGGTGGTGCTGCTCGATTCGTTCGATCTTCGGCTCGACACAGTTCGGCCGCCGCCACGTGCTGCGCATCGTCTTCCTTCCAACACCTCATCACCCACCCTCACCCAGCACACATCACATCACCCATCGCCCGTCACCTCCAAATCTCCCATCCCCTATCCCATCTTCCAACACCTCATCACCCATCACCCACCTTCCAACACCTCCTCACCCATCACCCACCCACCTCAGCCCAATGACTGCAACGCATCACGGGCGCCGGCGAGCTAGCCGACGAGGTGAAACCACGACTCTGCCCAAGCTGACACCGAAGGAGAAAGAGAGAGAGAGAGAGAAAGATAGGAGGACACGAGGAAGAAGGAGGACAAGTGGGAGAACCTCCCATCCCCTCTCCCCTCTCGCTCCCCTCCTCCTCTCGCTCTGCCATGGCCATGTCATGCATTCCCTCCGCCTCGCTTGGTGTGCAGGCGGCACCACGCCGAAGAAGGGGGCCTTTGTCTCATGCGGCTCCCTGTTGGGGATCTGGCTGACGGTTGCTCCTCGGACCCCTCCCCTTGCCGCCCGCATACCCGTTGCCCATATCAACCACCCGATGGCCTCTCGCGGCAGCCTGCGCCCTGCTAGACACACATACCTCTCCAGACCCTCGATGTGGTGGAGGAGGAGAGGACGGGGGAGAGGATGGGGTGTTGTGGAAACATGGAAGGAGGGAAAGAGCGGCAAGAGGAGGGTGGATGGGTTGCGTGGGGTGGGGGAGTTCAGAGGATTGGACGGGGGGGTAGCAGATGAGAAGGCAGATAGAGGAGGGAAGGATCGAATAAACGAACATTCCTGCTCTCACATCCACTCACATTCCTGCCCTGGAGGTGGAATAAACTAGGATGCCCCGGCGACAATACGTAGAATTGTCTGTAGATCGACGAAACGTGTTATGTCTTTGTCGTAGATTCGTCAGTCGAATTATGTTTGAGATACGTCGACGTTCAAGTCGAACCCGCAGGTGCATTTACGCAGGCGGCCTAACCCACGTGCTCCCCGACACCATCGACGTGCTTGCTCCGCTTTGCACCACGGAGCGTGGGCACCCCGCGGAGAGGAGAATGCAGGTAGGCTTAGGTCGGGCAGGCCCTCCTGCAGGCGGATATTGGACGGAAAAAAGGAAGACCCCAGTCATGCTCCGAACTAGCCAACAATGCTGAACAAGTCGTCCCCACACAATTGTTTGACCATGTACGAATATTCCTCCTGTAGAGGGACATGCCCGACTTAACGTGAACGGGGAGGCGGTGGATGACACGTGGGCGAACAAAAACATCCTCTTCCTCTTTCCTGGATCCACCGGCTCCTCATGCTGCGTTTCCTCGCCGTGATGCTGCACAACCTCGATGCCCCACCTCTCGGGCTACGTGATCTGTCTCGCGCGTGTGTCTGTTTCTCTGCTGGCACGGCATTAGGCATCGACCATTGGGCCCCGCGCTCGCTGTTGTCGTTGCCGCTTGGTGCCTCTGAGCAGTTCCTCGACATCCTCCGTAGCGCAGAGGGCAGGCTTGCTTTCCCACCCCAGTGCAATCTTTGTCTCATGGCGATGCTCCCTAAGTCTGTCTGTGAAGAGAGGGCTATCGTGAGGTGCCCTACCATATATCGTATCTACTGTAAGGCTCGGGGGTTCGACATCGAAGATTGCAAGAAGTCCCATCTGGAGTATTGGGATACTGCAGTCCAGGGTTCCTCTGCATTAAAAGCATACCTACCCCTCGTATCTGTTGTATCGTGGATTGCTTATCCACACTGCCCCGAGGGTGTTGGAGGTGAATGGCATGCTCTCTGATGTTCCCTGTGCGGGGGAGCCTAGTCTAGCCGACTGTTCACCAAGCATGTCATGGGTCAAGTGCTATCTGTATGATGTGTTGCAGAGAACCCACTATCGAGTGCCCGCCACGCTGTCTCAATTTCCCAGTGCATCGGCTGTCGCACCTTTGATCAAGGTACCTATTAGGTCCTATGCAGACGATATCACCCAATTCTTGCATGGCACACCGAAATTCCTGACACGCTATTTCCCTGAGGCTGTGCTCAGTTTCCGTAACGATGTGCAGGGAATCGGGTGCTTTATCCAAATATTGTCCTGTTGCCTCAAGTCGGGAAGTGGAGAGGTTTCTTGCTGCCGCATTTCGTCTTATTCGAATTGACCTGCCATTCGTCTCCCATGTAAAAGATCCCGGTACGGTCACTACTGCTGGGAAACGACGACGCACTTGGAAGTTGAGGCTGCGCCGAGCAATCGCCTTCCGCCGATCCCGCAAGCTCACAAATGCCCGGCGGTCCTGTGTGGCAAGTCCAAGAATGTGTTAAGCCTGGTATTCCTTCGGTCGGCTCTTGGGGGCACAATGTCTTGGGCCTGCCTCCTGGGGACATCAAGCGGCTCAGGGCGTCAGCGGCAGTGTGTTCTGGCTTCTGGAGCTCTGGGGCTTGCACTGCGACCGTCCTCAGCGTGCCCCACCCGTATAACGATGATACTGTCTACCGGCTCCGTGTTGACAAATTGTCGATGTTGGGTGATGTCTGGTTTCCCCTACTGTCTGGCGTTCAGAATGGCGCTAGGAGGGCTTGGGCTCGCTTCGCTACGTTGGACTCCCTTCCTCCTGCCCAGCGTTGGAGCCATGTCACTAGTCCATTAAGCGCTGCCTATGTTACCCCACTTGATCTTGGGGGGCTGCCTTGTAAGGTGGATATGTGGGAAGTCCCTGATGCCCCTCCTCGTCGCCTCGTCGATCCTGATGTTCGCGTTGACCTTGTAACGCGAATTCGTGCTACTACCTCTGCCCAAGTGTGGCGCAAGGCTTCTGAACACTACTGCGGGCGAGGCCTGGAGTCTGTGCCCGACCTGACGGTGTGCCGTCGCTTCCATCAGTCGTTGCTTGAAGATCTCGACTACCAGCGTGCTGCCATGGTAGTCACTGTTGTCACTGCTGCTTGCTGGCCCGAGGCGCGCCTGCGGGACACAGGCTATTTAACAACAGGCAGGTGCCCGAGATGGGCGGCTGAGTTGGAGACCATGCACCATGGTTGTTGGAACTGTCCGACCAATGATTATCTTCAGTCTACAGCTGTCTTGACGACGACTGATTTAATACAACTGCTCTTGCCGCCGACCCCAATGCCGCTTTTTGGACCCGTGGTTTGCCCAGCTCGGAAGATACTGTTGGACGCGTCCTACCTCCTCAAAACCGTGCTTGGGGCTTGGGCCGTTTCCTATCCCAACACAAACTTCACGGTGGACGATGGGGCCGTGATGGGTCTGGGGGCCACCATGCGAAGGATGTTCGTATTCGTCGGTGTGCCTGGGCTATGGTTAGGCTGGCGCCTCCACTGCACCCCCAAGACCTCAACGATGATGAACAAAACAATGGTAACCATGATGATGGTGAGCCCCGCCTTGACGCTATTATGTGTGGTACGTTGTCTACCGTTGCGCAGAGTCGCCCACGTGCTGAATTGCATGCATTGCTCATGTTGTTGCGGCACACGCCTGGGGACTCCGTGGTATATACTGACGAACTGCCTCTTGCACGTGCACTGCACAATCCACCGGCTCAGGTCAGCAGTACGACGACCATGCTTGATTTGTAGATCTTGACTCGGGGTGAGATCGATGATCGGTCTTCGGATCGGACCACCGTTCTGTAGACCAAGTCTCACACATGCGTTGAAAAGCAGGAGTTGTTTGGGATCTCTAGGGGTGAGTACTTTTTGAATTGGTGTGCCGATTGTTTTGCTGGGTGGGCTGCGCAACAGTGTGCTGTCCCCGATGATATAGTCCAGTCCATTTAGCGAATTGATGCAATGACCCATAGCGTCTTGGGTCGCCTCCTCGCCGTACATATGGAGGTTGCTGCATCGTGCCCTAGAAGAGGGGCTGCGCGGATTGGACGGACCCCTCCTAGACCCCGAGCAATGCCTGCGTTTGACACCCGCAGACAGCGACTCAGAGCTGCGGGGCACGAACCCCGCAAGAGGGGCTGCCACCTCGCATGCATGTTTTGCGCCCGCTGATTTCCTCTCCGTGGCCAGCTTGATTCCTTTTGGCCAGAGCCGTGCTGTGGAGCTCGTGCCTTGGCCCCGAATGACCCGATGTTGCACACGCATGTGCACACCTCACATATGTTGTCGGTTGTGCGTGGCGTCTTGTTTTGCACTGAATGTGGAAGTTTCGGCACGGTGTATGTACGCCAACTGGGCAAAGGATGCCCGCCTCATGGCCCCTCTAAGGTGGGGGCGGAGGCATTGAGCCGACTGTCGATGGGACTCACGCCAAAGTCGGGCGTCCCTTTCCCTGTGATCTGAGGCTGCTCAGTGCCTTGGCTTGACCAGGTCTCCATGGCGCTCGAATCGAATCAAATCGAAACCCACTCCTCCTCCTCCTTCCCCGTCTCATGTTTCGTTTCTTGTCTGTCCTCCTGCTTCTCCTTCTCCTCCTCGTCCTCCTTCTCTTCCACATCCTCCTCCTCCTCCTCCTCCTCCACCTCCTCCTCCTCATCCTCCTCCTCCCTCCGTTCCCCTCATCCCCAACCTCCTCCTCTACCCCCAGCACGCGCGATGAAGCGGGCAAGCCCCGTCCGCAAGCAAGCTGCCAGATGGCGAGCCACTGGTAGTCGCTAAGCCTTCTAGAGCAGGAGGGAGGGAGGAGGAGGAGGAGGAGAAGGTGGAGGAGGCGGAGGAGGAAGAGGAGGAGGAGGAGGAGGGGGAGAAAGAGGAGGAGGAGGAGGAGGAGGAGGAGGAGGAGGAGGGGGGAGGAGGCGGAGGAGGCGGTCAAGGAGGGACGAGGGAGACGTGGAGGAAAACAGTCAGAAACGAGGGGAGGAATCTAAGGAGGCGTAGAAGGATCACGAGGTCGCGATCGCTTGCGCCGACAGTGGAGAGATGCCCAGGTCGCTGATGGGTAGCGAGAGACAGGCTGTGCCTGGTGAGAGGTGCGGAGGAGAGTAGAAGACAGCATGCAGGGAGGGAGTAGAAGACAGCATGCAGGGGAAGAGGATAAATACCCAGACATCTGGCCACCCCAATTTTTTCGATGCGCGGGCCCCACGGGTCTGGACCACTTCCCCAGGGCCGGCTTTCCGTCCTGAATCAATTGTTTGACGGTCCCGAGGCCAGGCAAGAGGCCCCAGAGGCCGAACCCGCCGCTCCAATTTTGGAGCGTCGTATTCTGGGTATGGAATGACAATGAGGAGGGGGAGGAGGACGAGAAGGAGGAGAAGAAGACGAACAAAAAGAAAAGGAAGAAGAAGAAGAATAAGAAGAAGAAGAAGGAGGAGGAGGAGGCCGAGGACGAGGAGGGAGGAGGAGGAGGGGGAGAAGGAGGAGGAGGAGGAGGAGGTGGGGGAGGAGGACGTAGGCTGGTGCAAGGTGCGATCCGAATGCGTTCCCCCCGCAGCGCGTCTCTGCTGCGCCTGTGACGCGCCCGTGGAGGAGCATCTGCACAGAGATGCTCCAACAAGCATCGCTGGAAACGCGAAGTTCGAACGCCTCTGTAAAAAACGGGGCAGGTATGGAGAGCAGGCATGTCGAGCGTGCGGCCCCAAGCTGCCACAAGGACGCCCCCAGAGGGCCCCAGAAAGCCCCAGGAGGCACCAAAGAGACCCCCAAGAGGCCTCAAAACTGCCCCCATCAGAGGCCCCCGAGAGCCCTCCGACGAGACCCGGGAGGCAGAGGCCTCAAAACTGCCCCCATCAGAGGCCCCCGAGAGCCCTCCGACGAGACCCGGGAGGCTCCACCTGCATCTGCTGTTAAGGCCCCCCTCGGGAAGGAATGGGAGGGAGCCCAAGGTGAGGCAAAGGCTCCCACGGAGAGAACTTCCGGGGGCGCAGAGGCTGACAACAGGGCGGCAGACGTAGGACAAGAGGATCCTCTCCTTTCAAACGAAGCAACGGCGAGGAGAGGACAAATCCAGGCGAAGATACACCGAGGATCTCTGAGATCCACCGGTTTTAAAGAATTTGTCGGGCGCCGCGGCCTTCTCAGAACGTTCCGGAAAACTGCGCAAGCGTTCACGAATGCTCTGGAACGGATGCATCCTGGCCCTATGGCCCCGTCCGACCCTTTCCCCCTTCCCTACCGAGCGCAATCCTCCCACTCCACCCCCGCGAGGTCGGGGACAGGTAGAGGACGAAGGGGGAGAGTATGGTGCGGGCAACAAGCGAGCCAAGCATGGGGTGCCTGCGTCTGAGCACTATCCTGAACAGGAGCCCGGTGAACACAATCTTCAGCTGCCTCCCCACCCGATTCCCTGCTGCCCCTGGAGCGCAGCATGACCTGTCACCTCTTCACCTACGTCGTCCTCCTCCTCCTCCGCCTCCTCCTCTTCCTCCTCCTCGTCCTCCTCATCCTCCTCCTCCTCTTCCTGCTCCTGGTCCTTCTCCTCATCCTTCCCCTTTTACAGTTACTCAATATGAATACTACTCTCCCTCTTCCCCCGATGACGGCTTGAAAGTACTGTTTTTTTACATACACACACAGAGATTTCCCCGGAGTTGGGTTTTCGCCTGCATTTTTTCAAAATGCTGCTCTCGCTGAGGCGCCGGCCTCATTCTCGGGCTCCGCTCGTTCCGAATCGTGCTCCCGCTGCTGCCCTGGCCTCATTTACGTGCTTTCGTTCGTTCCGGATCGCGCTCCCGCTGCAGCGCTGGCCTCATTTCCGCGCTTCCGCTCGTTTCGACTCGTGCTCCCGCTGCAGCGCTGGCGTCATGTCCCGTGCCATGCCACGGCATGCAATGCAATGCTAGGTTGATACTACGCTTTGCGGTGCTCTTCTACGCCATGCCATGCCGTGCTGTACAATGCATCGCGTACCCTTTCGGGATCATTGCCCTGCTCGACATCCGACTGTGCGAGTAGAGAGGGGATCTACGCCATGGTAAGGAATGGGAGGGAGGGGTACGATGTAATATATGACGCGAGCAAACCTAGCTTGCCTCCTCCCCCTCTCCTTCTCCCCCTTCCTCCTTATCCTCCTGATTCCCCCTCGTCCTCCCCCCTGCTACTTCCGCCACGTTTCTCCCCTCTACTTACTGGTCCCCCAAAAAACAAACTGATACATTTAACTCTTTGCCGCGCATCTCCCTCAACACCGTTCGTTTTTCTCGGATCGTCACCCGCATCATTCTATCTCTCTCCCCCCCCCTCGTCCTACGTCTTACTCCACCTCCTCATTCTATTCTTCGTTTTCCTCAATGTTCTTGCTTCTCCTGCTCCTCCTCGTCCTCCCGCTTCATCAGCGGTTTTCCCCCTATTCCACCATCCCTCCCATGTCGTCATCTTCGCCCTCCTCTCCTCCTCCTCCCCCTCCTCCTCCTCCTCCTCCTCCTCCTCCTCCTCCTCCTCCTCCTCCTCCTCCCCCTCCTCCTCCTCAGTGCCCTCCGACTTTTCCTTCTCCTCCTCCTCCTCCTCCTCCTCTTGGAAATCCTCCTCCATGTGATCCGCCTCCTCCTCCTTCTTCGCCCACCCTTCCCCCCCCTCTCCTGCCCTGCCGCAAGCGCGCAGGCGCGCTCCCCCCAGCCGCGGGCGCGCGCAGAGCGCGCCCCGCCGCAGGGGCGGGCCGCGCCCGGCGCCCAGGGCCGCCAGGGCAGGCAACGGCTCATGTAGTCACGTAGGTCACGACCTCCTCCGCCGTGCCCCCTCGGGGTAGGTGAGCCACCGGCGACGAGGGAGGGGAGGGGGGCCGGTCATCGACATAGCGTCGGAGGTCGACGAGAGGGGGAGAGGAGCGTCGCCGTGGCCTCGGGGGGGAGGAGCGCAACCGTTGACGTCGTAGGCCGCTCCGCCCCCCCCTGAACGGAAGCCTCAGAGAACCTTGAGGCTTGCAGTGCCTATGCCAGCAACGTGTAGACAAAAAGTGAAGGAGCACAGGATTCAAATGGTTAGTTTCAGCGTTTCCATCTGTGATGCAAATCTCCAGACCTGTATTCATAGGGTGACGTGTGTGTTCGGATCTGGCAGGCATTGGAGCATGTGGAAGATTTCTTCGCGTGCGCGGGAGTGCAAGTCACGGCCTGGCCTGCCCCGGCGTGCCTTTCTCCTTCCGTATCGATGGCCTGGGAAGGGTTTGAAGCGAGCGCTTTCAGGCCCAGTCGGTAGCCCATTGCGAAGTTCTGCCTCGCGCCCTCGTAGCCCTGCGAGTTTTAGCTCTCGGGCGCGTAGCTCTGCTCGTGCCTCCGGGCAATTGGGGGTTGTTTGTGCGGCCCCCCGCGCGCGAGCTCCCCCTGGTGGCCGTCTTAGCTCTGTTTGCAGCCGTCGTAGTTCTTCCGGTGGCCGCAGTAGCTCTGCTGGTGGTCCGCGTAGCTCTGCTGGTGGCCGTCGTAGCTCTGCTTGTGGTCCGCGCTGTGCTGCTCGTAGTCCGCGTAGCTCTGCTGGTGGCCGTCGCAGCTGTGCCCGTGACCCTCGTAGCTCTGCTGTTGGTCGTCGTAGCTCTGCTCTTGCCGTCGTAGTCCGGCCTGTGGCCCTCGTAGCAGTGGAGGTGGCCGTCGTAGCTCTGCTTGTGCTCTGCGTTGCTCTCTTGGTCCGCGTGGCGCTGCTGGTGGCCGTCGTAGCTCTGCTTGCGGTCCGCATGGCTCTGCTGGTGGCCGTCGTAGCTCTGGTTGTTGGCGTCGTAATCCGGATTGTGGCCCTCGTCGCTCTGCTGGTGGCCGTGGTAATTCTGCTGGTGGCCGTCGGAGCGCTGCTTGTAGTCCGTGTAGCTCTGCTGGTAGCCGTCGTAGCTCTGCTTGCGGTCCGCGTTGCTCGGATTGAAGTCCGCGTAGCTCTGCTGGTAGCCGTCGTAGCTGCGCATGTGGCCGTCGTAGCTCTGCGTGTGGTCCGAGTTGCTCTGCTCGTGGTCTGCGTACCTCTGCTGGTGGCCGTAGTAGCTCTGCTCGCAGCCCTCGTAGCGTTTCTGGTGGTTCGGGTGGCTCTGCTGGTGGCCGTCGTAGTCTGGCTCGGGGCCCTCGTAGGTATGCCGTTGGCCGTCGTAGCTTGGCTTGTGCCCCGCGTTGCGCTGCTGGTGGTCCGCGCAGCTCAGTGGCCGCGCTAGCTCTGCTCGTGGCCGTCGTAGGCCGGCTTGTGGCCATCGCAGCTCTGCTGGTGGCCGTCGTAGCTCTTCCGGTAACGCGGTAGCTTTGCTGGCGGCCCGCGTAGCTCTGCTGGTGGCCGCCGTAGCTCTGCTCGTCGTCTGCGTCGTCCGGCTCGTGGTCCGCGCAGCTCTCCTCGTGGCCGGCGTAGCTCTGCTGGTGGCCGTCGTAGCTCTGCTCGTGGTCCGCGTCGCTGTAGGCTCGTGGCCCGCATAGCTCTGCTGGTGGCCGTCGTAGCTCTGCTGGTGGCCGTCGCGCCGCTGCTGCCAGTCCGTGGTGGGCAGCACCGCGGGAAGCGCGAGGCTGGATTGCCCGAGGTGGTGCTGAATGGCGCCGTAATCCTCGTTGTCGTCGTAACGACGAACATCGGGAAAGCTGACTGGTACGAAGTCGGCACAGTGCTTGTTGAAGTTGAACTTGCTGCTGGTGGCCGCACCACCCTGAAGGGGCTCTGGGGCACACAAATAAATAGACATAAATAAAAGGATTCCCCCTGGTTTCTCGTTTTTGGGTTCTTGTCTTCCCCCCCACTTCGCATATTTTCCCATGTTTTCATGGGAACCGACGATTGATTGTGTCTATATGTTTTTTCCCCTCCTGACGCTCGTGCTCTAACGTTGTCGCATGAGGATGGTCAGGTCCTTCGCTGTGGAGTTGCCCTTACGGGCCGCATAGGCAAACCCGCGGTGGGCAGCTGCCTCAAGATTGCGGTATCCGTGGTCTCGAGGAACACGGGGAATCTCGGACTGGTAATCTCGTAGCTGACTCATAACGGACCACTCCAGGACCAGACCAAACCTGGAAGGTGTACCCGCGGTTAACGATTTTACTCGGGGTTCGTGTAAGGCTTGGTAAGGATGGTCAAGAATTAAGGGTACTTGATGATAAGAATGTTGTGAATCAGGCGCGGCGAGTTCGGAGTGAAGAAGTACAGGGACCTGAAATTACCTATTCCGTGCAGTCGAATGGCGCCGCGCTGGGCGCTGCCCGGCCAGGGCGGGGGGGGCGCCTCCTCCTCCTCCTCCTCCTCCTCCTCCTCCTCCTTCTTCTCCCCCCCTTCTTGTCCTCGCGTTGGGTCTCCAGGTCTTCCAATATGCCTGGGGCCATCCACTGACCCCCTGATGGCCAAGGAGGAGCGGAGGGAACACACAGAAGAACAGGAGGAAGACGATAGGGTAGAGGAAGAGAGGAGATGAGGAGACGGAGAGAGGAGGACCGGTAGGAGAATGATGACAGGTAAAGACGAAAATCCGCCGACCCCTTGGGGATCATCGGCGTGTGAGATGCTTTCCCCCTCCCCAAACCCCTCCCCCGGGAGCCTGGTCCGGTCGATTTGGAGGGGGGGGGGGGGGTCGACCACGAGCGCGTCATGGGGCTCTTTCGGTCCCAAGAGGGGCTACAGACCGCCCAGGAATGCCCCAAGAGGCCTCCAAGACCGCCCACGAGCGCCTCGAAACGCCAAACGAGCGCTCGGAGACGCCCAAGGTGTGCCCAAGACAGCCCAAGAGGCCTCCAAGACGTCCCAAGAGGTCCCCAAGAGGCCTCTTGGGAGCGGCCCAAGAAGCCAAAATCGTTGATTTTCCATTGGTTTTTGAAGGAAGGGGGCCTTCTCGCCCTTTCGGCTTTCCGACGCTCCAAGACGGCCCAAGAAGCTCCCAAAACCGCCCCAAGACGGCCCAATATTCCCCCAAGACGGCCCCAAGACGGCCAGAGAGGGCCCAAAGACGGCCCAAGAGCCGCCCCAGACGGCCCAAAAGGCTCCCAAGACGAGCCCAAGAGGGGGTGAAGAGGGGGTGAAGAGCGCAAAAGTGGACCCTGCCAAACCAACCCAAGGCAAATTTCGAACCCTCGGCCCCAAGAAGCCCCCAAAAGGATCCAAGAGGCCCCCAAGAAGCCACAAATAAGCCCCAACAACCCCCGAGAGGCCCACAATAGACCCCAAGAGACCCCAGAACGGCCCCCAAGAGACTTCAAGAGTGCTCCGAGAAGGCCCCTGACAGACATACCAGGACACCTTCAAGAGGCTCCAAAGACGGCTGCAAGAGGGGGGACAATGTACATCAAGGGGTCGGCGGTGTGGCGTAAGCCCAAGAATAATTGCTTGGAGCAGATCGATGAGGATGATGAGGGCGACGAGGGGCAAGAGGAGCACGAGAAGAACAGGAGGGA